GTTGTAATGTGACAAAATATGGAAAAGTTCAAGGGGTATGAATACTTTTGCAAACCACTGTATATATAATTTGATGTAATTACAAAGAAACAAGTAACATTGGAGACGTGTGATGATTGTTTTTGCAAATTAATTAATAATATGGTAGCAACACATAATACATAATGCAGCCTGTTACATACCTGGTTATTACAAGTTATTTWCCTGGTACTTGGCACCCAACTACATGGGTACCTACATTTAGATTACAGGGTACCTATGTGGACCAGACTCTTTTAGTAGTGACTTGTTACCATGTCCTTGTAGAGTACAGACTGACACCTATGAGGTGCAAACCTGTTTTATTTMTTTTATTATTTTTTACAAGGTACATACCTTGTATTTACCTGGTCATACAAGTTCAACTAAACAACTGTAGCAATCTACCAAGCAACAACAAGCTAACATTAGCTAYCATTAGCTTGCTGTSCTCTGTCACGCTGCCCTCTCGTCATTAGTGTCATACAGCTGGATGGTCCAGTACAACCTTCTGTATTTTTCCTTAACGGGGCAATTTCATGTAAAATCAACTTTTTTGAGCTTTAACTCGTGCTGTAATGTCATTCCCTCATTAAAAACATACCCAGAGTGTTGCTTTTGCTCATTCAAGCATGTTTAAGAAATCCTGTAGTGTCATTCAGGAAAACAAAAACAGCTGGTTGGCCCTAAAACTCCCTTTTAGGTGCAACTAACTCCTCCTCTGGGCTGTCTCCAAGCCAAGCTTCCACATCACAGAGCACACCTCCCCTGCGACTCCTGCAGCCTGACTAAAAGACAATCCATGCGATTCCAACACTCGTCGTCTGCCCGAGCTGAAAAACTCACATTGTTTTGTTCGGTTGTTTGGTCAATCTGTGATCTACGGTTACCATTCGTAACTTATATTGTGATCTGTGTTCTTAAGTTGGCTTACACCACATTTTAGTAATAAATAAATCAGCTTAACATTGATGTGTGTGTAGAATGACTGACAGATATCTCACCAAGCTGAAAATTTTTCTCTCTACTTGCTCCGGTTCTCTAGAAAATGTACTTTCAGGTCCGATGGTAAGGTTTAGTTGCATCCTGACTTGCCATTTTTTAAAACTGATATTGTATAATGGTGCTGCTTTTTTAAAATGTTTTTACAATAAAATAGGCTACAATGCTGTAAATGTCATGAAGCCTTGTTGTGATGACGTGCAGAAACGGGTGTGACAGAATTGGTAGGATGTTCTTRAAGAGACAGCGGCCWATTTCAAGGTGTTTAGAAACAGCTATAATGCAAAGTCAAATTTATTTTTGATTTATGCATATAAACAGCATTTTCATAACAACTGAATGTGACATAGTTACTTTATTATGGTATAGAATTGAACTATATGCCGGAGAAACRCATAATATTGACCYTTTAAAGTTTGGTGTTTTCCATCATTGTGTCTCAAATAAAACAAAATAAGATTTGYGCCTGTTTAATATGATGATCAMACATGGAGGYGSCTCTCTGCTCAATGCAAACACAACAAGAGATRGGGTCRAATAAGGCCRGGCTGACTGGGRCTGTGCTGGACCCGGCCAGGCCATACAATGCAAGCATGATAAAGGGACACAAATGGTACTTACATACTTGTACTTCAGGGTAGCTATCTGGTGTTTAAGTAGTTTATACCTCGTACTTACAAGGTATGTACCAGATATGTACCATGTAAATAACTCTTTAGGTACCTAGTAACTACTGGGTAAACTCCTATAAATACCAGGTGTCCTGTAATTTGAGCARGTAYCCAGCATGTATCTAGTAAATACCTGGTAACTACCAGATTTGTACCCTGTAAGCACTAGGTACATATCATATAAGTACCAAGTATGTACCCAGGGAGTATTGGGCTGTGTTTTATGTTGCTACCAAAACTATAAATCTACTAAACTCAGTGTTTGCCTTATTCTGTAAGGTCTTCCATCATAGTCACATGTGCTCAGGATGCTCCTCAGCCTGCCTTCACACTCTGTTTTAYCCCAGCAGCTCTGCCTGCTACACCCAGGTCCCAACCCTTTTACTCCCASCCCACTCAGTTTTTCCAGCCCTGACTCCCAGCTCCTTCTCAGGTGAAAAAACAGTTGGAATTAGTCAACAGGCTCTCTGCTAATTGAGCTTGGAAAATATTGTATCAATCCCAGTGGAGCAGGGCCATGGAACAGCTGAGGGAAGAGGAAGGCTGACTTAAACAGATGGTGGCTTTAAAAGGAGACCAGGACACAGTTGAAAGAAGATGTTAAAAAATGACAAACACATACAGAAAATTAATGTTTTATTATTTTGATCACTGCCCTTTAGTTTGACTTTAAGGGACAGTTTATATGTTTGTATCAACCTAASCAAGTCAATCATCTTTTAATAAAACAAATTTAAAATTAAAGGACAGGGAATATTTTTTAAACAAATTTTGAGCRTTTTAAAATTTTCTAGAGAGCACAGATGTGTTTCATTAATTACACTCTGAAAACAAACACTAAAACCTTAGATATTTGTATGTGAGATTTGTTTTAAGCTTACGCCTGTAAGCTGTCAGTATATTAAACATTTATCAGCAAGCATGTGTTAAACCAGACCCCTGATCTAAATATAAACATATATATACAGTATATATA